AAAATGCTTAGGCATGAACTGCTCTTAACAAACCACATATAGTATATCTGGAGGTAAACATCACTGCAATTTAATGAGCTCTTAGGTTTTGCATTTTCTCAATCAATGTCATTGTTGAGATTTCATTTTAAAGGCACATTTAAGTGCAGAAATGTTATTAGTAATTACTCTTAATTGAGCTAGAGATCAGTCCCTACGTATGCACACATAAGTTACATGTGGGTTTATTCGTTGGATATAAACACAGATAGCCAAGAATGGGTCATGTTTTTCTTTGAATTAGCTACCCATAACAATTTTGATTAGCAAAAATCAGAAATCTGATAGCACCTTTTCCTGATACATGTTTTTTTTTTTAATTAAAAGGCATACATTTTCATGAACTGTAGCTCACTTTATCACTTATACGGATGCTTAGCAAAACAGATTTATTAGAACTAGAAAAGAAACAGTTCAAACGCGCTGCAAGGGATGTGCGAACTCACCTGGAGAACACAATACATTAAAATTGTGTCATACGTGGTAAGTGTAGCCTCCTGCAGTGGAATGACAGTTTGTGGGTTTTAAACAATTCCTCTCCATTCGGCAATGATTCCAAGAGGAGCCGAGAGTGTCATCTTGGGATCTGTCAGTTGTAACTGCACAAGTAAAGACAAATGAAGTTGCCCATTTAATTAAGGTATTGCAAATTAGTTCACCGAGGCAGTAAAATCAACATAAGGGAATTAGATCGTGGATGAGGGGAACTAAAGTTAGGATTGTGACACGACTCAAAGGGTAGGTGGTTGCTTTGCTCACACCAGGACACGGGAAATGATCTGCTCCCTTCCTTAAGACAGTCATTGTGCCTATGGACTGGCACTGGGGAAGTCATATTAACCCCCCCACCCCCATTATGTCACATATAATAAGCAGTAATGTTTTCCTTTTTAAACAGCCCTTTCTTCTCCAGCTCCAGTTTTTTTCCCCAGCCTCTGAGATAATTGCCAGTCCTTTAAGACCCTTCAATCTTTTCCGGATATCATCCAGATCCAATGGTGTTTTTCCCACAGAGCTTCCAAGAAGAGAAGAAGAAATAAAATGTGCTGTTCTATGCTTTTCATTTTGCAGTACCAAATGTGTGCTTGCTTTATTCCACCAAAAGAGGGCGCTCTTTGGAAAGCACTTCGCGTCAGCCTGGGGTTTCTATTGTGCTTAAAAACAGCAGAGGGGGGAAACCAGCGCAACTTTTTTCTCCTTGGCATCTCGCTAGAGCCAAGTCCTTCGTTACAAAAGGAATGCAAAAGATTCTCCCTTGGAAGTTGGGAAGCCACAAGATCGCAAAAGCAGCCAGTGGAACTTAAGGTGGTCTGTCTCTCTCTCTCTCTCTCTCTCTCCCCCTCTCTCCCCCTCTCTCCATCTCTCCCTCTCCCTCCCTCCCTCTCTCTCTCCCTCCCTCCCTCCCTCCCTCTCTCTCTCTCTCTCTCTCTCTCTCTCTCTCTCTCTCTCTCTCTC